CCCCCCCCCCCCCCCCCCAACCCACAACAACAGGCACTCCATGCTGTGAAATCCAAGAAATCAAACAGAACAAATCACACACTTTTTGGTTCCCTCTATCTTCATGGGACACGAGACCAATTAGGCCAACATATTTGTGGCCTTAATCAACCAAATATAAATACCCACTAACCTAATCTTTTTACATATACCAAATCAAATCCAACACCCCATTTTCAAATACTCTACCAGTCTACCTTTCTATATCCATAGCAATAAATGAATTTCCCATAGGGAGAAAACTTTTCGTCTCGTCGGGTTTGCTTTTCTTTTGTGCCTCGACATCATCATTCTCTTCTTGTTGTTCTTCGAATCTCATGATGGATTGGTAGTCAGCCTTTTCATGACATAATTTTATTATAATCAAGTAAAGTGAGACCGCGAAAATTGTAACACCTACAATATACCAGCTGAATTGAATATTCACTAGGGATTTGGCACGTTCTAGGGCTTCTTCCCCGTGGCATCGGACCACTCTGTGACCTTCCTCCAAATTCATGAAGCAATTCTTAGGTATCAATTCCGGGGTCCAAAGCATGAATCCCATGACCATAAGCCAAACTCCTTGGAACAAAATACTAATAGACCTCACAAAGCTATTCAAGAAACTCTTTGGGTACTTAATGCCCAAAAGGGTAGTGACAAGTGAAATGAAAATTACAATTTGAAGTAGCCAATGGTATTGACCCTCAACACCCATATGATCCGCGGAGTGGAGGTGGAAGAGGAGAAGTTGTTGGCCAAAGGCGACTGTAGCAAGAAAATTGGTGAGCCCATATTGGGCTGGTGGTGCAAATTTATCTAGTAGAATTGAGAAGAAAGCATACATGAAAAAGGTCATGGAAATATTAGAATGTTCAAAGTTGTGGAGATGGTTAGAAGGTATGGTTCCATCGGGGTCGAGGGGTTGGTGACGGTCCGGCCCGATAAAAAGCTCCATGGATATGGACATAGTGCACGCTACCATGATCAAGTAGAGCTCAAAATACTTGAATTTTGAAGTGGGAAACCATGGCAAAGACGTGTAGGATTTTGGGTTTAGTGCATGAAGTTTGACGTGATTAAGGAGGTGCCATAGCCCTATGAAAAAGAAACCAAATCCAGGTGCTACATGTCCCACTAGAGTGCCCATGTGTTAATTCTCTTGGTTGTAACTTATTTTTATTTCTTGACTATGAGAGGGAATGAATACGGGAGGAGAGAGAAAAAAAATGGATGTGAGATGGAAAAAAATGAAATGAGAGAAGGGTTATATAGGAGTGGATTGGCTGAGTTGGGAAATCATACATATGAAATTCTTGAATGTCTAGAGGCTTCTGATAAGGGTTGAAAGTTTGAATATGGCGTGGGCGTAGGGGGTGGTGGGGTGGGGGTTATTGATTAATCTTATATATGTGGAAGCTTGGGGAATAAGATATATAAGATTAGTAAGAGTTGACCAAAAGCCATTAATTTGAGACGAAGATTCCAATTTGTATTGTACAAAGAAAAGCAGCCAATTGATTCGGAATTGAATTCTTGTGAAAAGATGGATAAGAAGAACGCGTTTGAAAAGCAAAAGTAGAATTCGCAAAGCTTCTTAAAAATGAGAAGCTGCATTCATGACAAGATCGTCCATAGTAAACAATGTATTATTGGCGTGTTCGATCGTGCTTAAAATTCAATTAAAATAAAAAATATAACTATTATTGAGTCTCACTTGTCTAATATAACATGTTTGGTACAAATTAAAATCAGATTTTAATCAAAATCAAATAATCAATATTAACCACATTTTACATAGGGTCCCAAAACTTTTCAACTACACATTTCAAAAAATTATATCACAATCTACTAAAAATCTAATTTTAATCCATACCAAACACCCTCTTTGTCTACTCTGGTAATATTGATAATCCTTTTTATTATTAGTCCCATAAATAAATTTTAGCCGACGTGGATGACAAATAAGATTAATAGAATTTATTTACTTCAACTTGGCTCAAAAATTTAAAATTTAGTAATATTATTCACAAGTCAATATAAAGAGGTAACATTGTCACATTAGTTTGTTTTCAGATCCTCAAAATCGAACAATAATCTTTGTGCAAAAAGTTCGGCAATGTTTTTTGAGTCACATTATTTTTTCATTTTCATTATTCTACTCATTTTTAAACACATTCTTCAATAAAATAACATTTTCCATCATATCAATCACTTTTTTTTTTCAACCACATATTCCCCATCACATCAACAGTAAAAATGCATTCTTTTTCCAAAAATGTACACCAAACGAGGACTTTATTTTACCATATATTACATCATGTATGCGTGTGTGATTTGGGGGTCAAACACGAACAACATATTTAGACCAGTTGTAAAGGTCAAAAAGTTGTACCCGTGCACCATTTGAAACCCGAGACAAAATTTCTAGAATTTTGAATATAGAACCAAACCATATTTGGTACGTATCATGGCCATGATGCCTTTCATGGTGGGAAGTCAACATAATTTTGGTCTCTGCTTAGAAATTTCTTAGTCTGGCCCATAATTATTCTTGTCAAATTGGAGAATGAGAGAGAGAAATTCGATTTTCTAATTTCGCAATAAACTCAAATATTTCACTTTTAATATATGGTTGCTGGTTGCAACGTCTAGGGATTTGTTTTAACTAGGTTACACCATGAACAAATTGAGTTAATTTCCCTTGTTTGACAACCATTTTAAGAAAGAAATTGATTTTGAATAGTGATTGATGGAAGAATGTGTGGTTAAAAAGTAAGGAGAATTTTTGGGTTTATATATAATATTATTTTACTGATAGAATATGTGGTTGAAATGAAGAAAGAGAAAAAAAATGAGAAAAAAATGGATGTCAAACAATTTTACAATAGTTACCAATTTCAGTGCGAACTATGCTACTTGTACAATGAATTTGAGAATAAATTTGACAATGTGTGAGTTGACAGACATTATGTCCATTGATTTGAACGAATGTTTTTTAATTCAATGGCAATGATCTATATGTCAAAATCATTGTGCAAATTCATTGTACAAGTAGTTTAATTCTTTCATCGCACCATTTTCGTCTCACACGACTATTAAAACAAGTTGACGGGCCAAGTGGTTTACCCAATTCTCGAGTACAGTGTCTAGTATTACATCCACTGATCCAAGTGAAGTTATGGGCCCAATTCACGAGCCTCTTGGGCCCATTTCAGGCCCATTTATAGAATGGGACCCACCCCACCCAACCTCCTCTCCTTTCCCTCCAATATTCGCTATTTATGCAGAAGAAATATCTTTTCGTCAAACCCTAACTTCCCATTTCTCATAAAATTTTCACCATTTTTTACTTTTATTTTTGATATTTTAAATAAAAAATTTGTAAAGGCCCTTTAGATTCGCCATGGCATTTCAAAATCCGGTCTTTAATTTCCGAAAGAAAACGAAGAAAATGGGAGCATAGTTTTTAACGGTGAGCTAAAACAGGGATTCTTGGATGGGTATTAAGAGCACTAGTGGTAGCAGTGAATGCCATGTAAGCATAGAGAAATTAACAATTTAAAGACTTTTGAGCAGCGTTGGCGGTGGCGGGCCGCGGTTGAGTTGGTAGGGAAATGGCGGATAATAGTGTTTGTGGGTCGAGTGCCAATGATAATGATTTGAAGAAGAATGGCACTGGAAATTTTGATGAGGGAAGTAATTCACCTATTCCTGAGAAGGTAAGAAGATAATTATTGACTCGTTTATGTAAGCGCATGCAACAAATAAAACACCTTTGTTTGATGGATAATGCGTTTGTTTTAAGGATATTGTTTTTGTTTTTAATATTCATTGTAATTTTGTATAGGTAGCTGAAATTGTTGCATGTTTCGTTTGTTTTGAGATTATTTTTTTTTTGGGGTGGGTGGGATGTCCGCTTGTGATTTTAATGAGACTGTAAGTGCTTGGGAATTAACAGGAAGCTTGGTAGGATGACAGAGCCTCTGGAATTGATATATCTCATGGATATAGCAAAATTAGTTGGATAATATGTTCAAACTGGGTTTAAGTTTTTGTATTTTACTTTCGCGGCGAATGAAGAATTTATTTATTATGTAGGATGATAGAATCAAAGAAAGTATGAAGATTTGATAGACTCTTCGGTTACCTCTTTCCCTACAAATTATGCAAATGGCGGGTTTTGGATTGGTTTAAAAACATAGGCCTGTTTGGTACACATTATTTTTTTCAATCTCATTCTTCTACTCATTTTCAACAACACATTCTTCAATAAAATAATATTTTCCATCACATTAATAACTTTTCCTTCATTTCTAACCACACATTATCCATCAATCTACTATTCAATAATACATTCTTTCAAAAGAATGTGTCCCAAACACACTCATAGAAAAGAAGTTTAACACCATTAATAAAAAATTTCTGCTTGTAGAAGAGTAAGCTATAGATATTCATAGGAATATACTTGTTGAAGCAACTAAAGTTGTGCACTGTGTGATGGGGACCTTTTTGGGAAGGAGAATTAAAGTGATTGGTTTTCTTGTACGGTGCATTTGGAACTATTACTTTACACAATACAGTTTCACATAACTTCAAGTCTATGAACCATGCATGAAAGTTTTAAATTTTTTCTAATGAAGTGCCTGTTTGCTTTATGTTGCCTGGAGTTGTTTTTCAGGTTCAAGTGGGAAATTCGCCATTGTATAAGGTTGAAAGGAAGTTAGGTAAAGGTGGCTTCGGTCAGGTTTTCCTGGGTCGTCGTGTCTCTGGCAGAAATGATTGTACAACAGGTCCGGGGGCCTTGGAGGTAGTACTTTTGCTTTTCTTACCCCTTGGAATTTAGTTGGTTTACTCTCTGATTGTATGTTTTTAATAATGTCCTTTTCAATTCTCATTGAACAAGCGTTTTAACACCAGGTAGCCCTGAAATTTGAGCACAAAAACAGTAAAGGGTGCAACAATCGTCCTCCATGTGAGTGGCAGATTTACAAGTACGGATCCAAATATCTATTGATCATGATATGTTTGCAGTATCGTTTTTTCTAGTGCACAAATTTTATAGTTTGGTGAAACAGCACTCTTGGCGGTAGTCACGGTATACCTCGGGCATACTATAAGGGAAAACAGGGAGAATATTATGTCATGGTATGTTTGAAGTGCTTGCATAGCCTCCTTTGTATATTTGCGACTTCAGTATGTTGATGTAATATGCTATCAAATTCTGGTTATTATGTGTTATTCATGATGTTATACAATATGTAGGTTATGGACATGCTAGGGCCTAGCTTATGGGATTTATGGAATTCCTCAGGGCAATTGTAAGTAGCCCTGCTAGCCTTTCCAGTTTAGGCCTTGTCTTCTTCTAATTTGTTCCTACACCTCTATTTAGGTAGTGGAGTTTAATGGTTTTAGCACTGGATTGCCAGCATGAATTCCTTCTTAGGAAAAAGAAATTATTAATCCCTGTTGAGTTTTGACCTCAAGAATATGAAGCCTTGTTTTCTTTATTTGCACTGTCTGTGATCAAAACATCAAAATTAATTCAAAATTAAGGAATGTTTTTGTCTCGATGATTTCAAAAATAGATCTTCTCTTGGTACACCATCAATATTGTTAATTCACCATTTTACATCTCCCTCTTTTGAACACGCACATACCACGTATTAACTTGTGAATATATTCCTCTTTACTATTAACTTGTGTATATTCCACTTTACTATTATCAGTTATATGAAGTAGGTTTATTAGGGTAAGAAAGGCTGCTGTTCAATGAAATTGGCCGAAAATTATATTTGGTCATTGAACTTAATTTTGTTACAATTAGATTATTGAACTTCAGCATTTATTACAATTCGGCCACTGTCATGTTAGTTCAACTAAAAAATGTTGATTTGACAGCCTAATTGGCAAATATGTCGTTGACTGCGATAAACGAGAACAGAAATGTGGAAAATCAATATGACATGCCAATAAATTCAGTGAAAACTAGGCATTAAAAATAAGAAAGGAAAATTTGAAAAATGAACTATAAACAAAAAGGAAAACTGAGAAAAATGACCTTAAAAAATTCTGGACAACAATAAAATTAGATGCAATGAGTACTTAATTTTGTGTACTTAAAACGCTCAAAAGATGTAAAATGTCTAGCTGAAAATAGCTTCACAAGAATAATAACAGTTTTTTTACAATTCATGATATTGAAATTTTTATTTAGAATTTTTCCTTTTTAGTTATCATTTATTTGAGATTAATCCTATATATTTTTTATTTTCACTGAATATACTACCACATTATTTAATGTGGTGCGGAAACATTTGTGAAATTCTTATAATAAGAATTATGTAATAACTAAGAACAATATTGGAAGAACTCTATTTGCATATATTGAATAATAATTGATGTGATCACAAAGTGTACGATACCTCTATATTTATAAGCAAAATTATTCCATACTTCTACTAATTCTATGAGATTTAAAAAAGATAAAACATAAAACATATTACAACTATAAAAGAAATGTTTCGCATTTTCTATACTATACCACAAGTGTCCGATGTCAAATTTTGTAATATAAGATCAAGTAAGGATATTGGACCCATGGGTACTGATATTTAATTCCTACTAAGGGTGTGTCTGGGCGGAATTAGTATTGCAATTCGGATCGTTGGTAATCAAAAAAGGAGCTGTTGTACAATTTTTTAATTGAAAAATTCAGACACTCTGCAGTATCAATTCAGCCCACTGACACTTCCATTACCAAATTTACCCTTCCCATTTACACGTGTCAAATGTTGCAAGTGTTTGTTTCAATTTTTTAATCTCAAAATGGTCCTTTTTTTCCCCATTTCCAGAAAACACGTGCAAAGCTTCAGAAAATGGGCCCGTCTGATTTGACCCAAAAATAGATTTTTCATTGCCAAAATCGCGCCCAGACACCCTCAATGTTTTTATGCTAATCTAAAGGTGGATGTGGTGGCAAGTTCAACTAAATAAATGCAAGTTATACGAGAGATTTATTAAAGTGAGAAAGCCTAGGGAATGATTTCACTGCACTATTGACAATATTTCTAAAATTTTATAGTCACTTCTATCAATTTTTCCTAAATTTATAAGCAAGAATCCTAAATTAATTCTATTCCCTCTCTCGAGTGTCAAATAAAACCTATCTCTGTATTTTAATTCCAAAATCTCTATTCCGAATTAAAATCTAGAAATTATCGAGTATGTGGTTCTTAAATGGAATAAGCCTCAAAGATTTCATATTTTCTCTCAAAATCTAAGTTGTGTTATTCTTAGATCGCACCTAAATCTCCCTTTGTCAAGTTTCAAAATTTAAAGTGTCAAATTATTCAACTATTGATCAGGCAATTGAAAGCGATGTGCAAAAATCAACACAAATAAACTCATGAAAGAAAAGAAATAACTATATTAAAATTCAAACATGTCTCAAGTTAGGTCACATCAAACCCTAGTATGAATAAGAGGAGACACAATCAATTCTATTATTAAGAACATGGAGAAGAAAATAATGAAAAAATTGATTTGGCTCTTGAATTCCTCCTTGGTGTTGTGTTTCTTTTTCTAGATCAGTCTCTTGTTCCTTGCCTCTCGCGTCGAATTTTTCTTTGAAAGTGGCCTCTAGATTGATATTTATGCCTTCTTTTAGTTCTAGATGGATAGGGATTGTTTTGGGCTTTTCACGGGCCAAGAAAACAACCCTATAGTTTACGGTGTAGCGCAAGGAATTGCCTAGCACCTATGATGCTCGGACTCTTCGAAATAGTTGGAGTACCCGTGTTGGATACGACACGACATGGCTATGGATATGAGATATGTGTTGGATCCTCCAAATTTCAACCGGACACTTCGTTGTTTTTGCTTCTTCCTTCCTTTTTCCTTTTCTTATTTCCTACTTTTGCTCTCCATAAACCTAGCGTCGTCGCTGATAGGGTAAAGAAAGAGGGTGATGTTAGATTTTCCCTTCTTTTTCTTCTTTCTTTTTTTCTTTCCACTTTCTTCTCTTTTTTTCCTTCTCTCTCTCTCTCTATATAGGTGGTTTAGNACTTTCTTCTCTTTTTTCCTTCTTTCTCTCTCTATATAGGTGGTTTAGGGTTTTGTTTGTATAAAATGAAAATGGGTTCCATATAGTACTCCACTAAGTCCAAATTATAGTCAGGTTCCTTATTTTCTATTTTATATAAAATTTAGTAATTCTCATTATTGAAAATTAAACCCCAAAATTCTATTATATTTGTCTTTAACCCCTTATTAAATACTCATTTTCTTCATTGTGAATAATTAATTTTGGTCTATTCAAAATGATATCTTGAATTAGTAAAAAAATTGAAGTTTGAAAGACGTACTCACGTGCCCGTGTCCAAAATTTGGACTCTTTTTAGCCATATCCCCGTATCTTACATTTAAAAAAATAAAAGATCCGACACTTGGATACATACCCATACCCGAGTCCTAGCATCATAGTCTAGCATTGGATGCTATTAGTCGGCGCCTAGGCGCTAGATCTATGTTCTTCTCGCGTGGGCTCTGCCTGTGTGGCGCCTGGGCGCTTCATCTATGCAATATTCAGCCTCTTTTGCATGGTTTCCTAGACATTTTCTTTCCGTTTCACATTCTAGTCGTGTTTAGCTCCTTCAACCTCTGTGAGTGGCTCTTTTTCACCATAATACCTAACTTATAAAATAACATCAACACACACATTAAAACGTTCTAAAAAATTCAATAGATCTAACAAATTATCAAGTTAAATTGGTATTAAAAGGATGACTGAAAGACACTCACCAAAAAATTAAAAAAAAAGATAAAATACAACTGAAAAGATGAATCAAAATTGTAGTAAAAAACTACTAATTATGATTATATACTGCATCATAATGTCCCACAATTTTGCCGACGAGCATTTTTTGCTAGTTAGATTGCCATGCCATAACTGCCATTATGCGTAGCATTTCGATAATACTGGTATAGACGATTTCACCTCTACTTGTAACAAATGCCTTAGCCAAGGGACATCTAATTTTAACAACAATTGAGTCTAGTCACTAACGGACACGGATAGAATGGCCTAGTTGGCTAGTAGTAAAAAAAAAAAATGCTGGAGTTTAATGATTGCTAACGTAATCAAGTTTAACGTTCCAATTGAAATTTTGTTGGAAGTTCGTGGGCAAGCAGTGGACTTAGTACAGCATCCTGGACAATGTTCTCCAGGATAAATGCTTGCTGGGTATCTGATTCTTGTTTTGCTTCTCATTGCAGACTGTCTGCTGAAATGGTAGCCTGTATTGCCATTGAGTCTTTGTCGATCTTGGAGAAGATGCACTTGAGAGGGTATGTACTACATGTCTAGTACTCTTTCTATTTCTTCTGGTTAACACACGATTTCAAGGATTCTGGTCAATTTCTTTAGGTGGATGTATCTTATATTCCTAATATGAATCTTCTTTATGTGCTCTTCTTTTAAATATATGAATAGTTATGTCCATGGAGATGTAAAACCAGAGAACTTTTTGCTTGGTAAACCGTCAACGCCACAAGAGAAGAAGTTGTTTCTTGTTGACATGGGATTAGGTCAGAGAATCAAATGCTTGTTTTTATTTTCAGTTTTTGCTTTCAATTACCCATTCTTGCCCTTCTTATATTAGCGCTGACACAAATTGCAGCTACAAAGTGGAGAGATGGTGCTAAAGGGAAGCATGTTGAATATGACCAGCGCCCCGATATGTTTAGGCAAACTTCTAGTCGCACTTGAGGTACCTGTCTATTAACTGTCCTATCTCTTCAATGGCTGAATTAGCACGTGTAATTTCCCAGGGGGACTGTTCGGTATGCTAGTGCACATGCTCATTTGGGAAGGATTTCCAGTAGGAGGGATGATTTGGAATCTCTTGCATATACACTTATTTTTCTTCAGCAAGGCCGGCTACCATGGCAAGGATATCAGGTATTGCTTTCACCTTGTTCTTGATTATTTCATTTTTCTTTGTTAAAAAATACCACATAGTACCGAATTTTACAATCAACATGCCTTAGGAAAATTCTAAGGCATCAATAGAAGGACTAAAGGCCCGAAAGTGGCCTTTAGTAGAACAGCACCAACAAAACAGAAGACCAAACATAAAATTATAAAAAACCAATAGTAATGTAAGAGCCTGTATTGCATTATTTGGGGTATCCAATGCACTCTACTTTACAACCTTATCCCCCCAGATTCTCCATTTTGCAAAACCATTTTACTGATCTTGAACTCTAATCGATGGAATCCCTTTTTCAACCAGAAGAATAGTTCCTTCAAGTTTTTCTTTAATTTCATTGGGCTGCAAAGTTCTTCCATGTTTCACATTGTATATTGTTCGCTAAAATCCCGTAAGTGTATGGTATCATAGCCAAGTAATAAAGAGCGAGTAAAATGTCGTTCCCATGAGGCTATGTATTAAATTAGGTTCCAATTAAGATTAACTTTAACCGAAACAGCACAATTTTTTAGAGATTGGTGATTGTAAATTAAACCTATAACTAACTAAATATCAAACTTTTAACTAACTAGGAAGCGTTTATGAAACTCAATTAGTGAAAACCACCACTAGGACTTCGAATTCCCTTAAAATCTTCCATTTGATCTCTGTTCCTATTTTGTTTATAATATCTCTTGAGTAATAATAAATCTATCTTCATGTATGTCCTTTCTACATCTCTATGAAGGATGCGATTATATGAATGTGCATTAAATTTCAAGACCATTCATACGATCATGCTAAGCATAGTTATATAGGACTTTACAATGATTGTTACTACATGTTACAATATCTTTCTTTCTCTCGAATATAATAGAACTCAATTATTGATCAAGGAATTGAAAAGCATTAAAAAATCTAACATTTATTCAAACCAAACAAGTAATCGAAGTCAAAGTCTGGAAATTAACATTAAAATATCAAAATATAGGGTTTCATCATTATCCTAGTATCTATACAATTATATGTAGCTCTTGGTATGCTCATTCGGTTACATTTATCAGGGCGATAACAAATCATTCATGGTTTGCAAGAAAAAGATGGCCACATCTCCTGAAGTGCTGTGCAGCTTCTGTCCTGCACCTCTTAAGCAATTTCTTGAGATAGTGATCAACCTGAAATTTGATGAAGAGCCTAACTATTCTAAATTGATCTCTCTCTTTAATGTACTGATTGGACCAGATCCTTTAATAAGGCCAATAAACACAGATGGCGCTCAGAAGGTAATATCATGATGTCTGAGTCGATAAGCTGTATCTTCTTTTTTTAGGATTCATTATGGATTTAGTCTTTTTATGCTATCATTTGCAGAGCGTCCAAGTTGGGCAAAAAAGAACAAGGTTAAATCTTGACGAGGTTGACAATGATTTGCCCAAAAAGAAGATTCGCAATGGATTGCCTGCAACACAATGGATAACGGTTTACAATGCAAGGAAACCTATGAAACAGAGGTAGAGTTGTCTTTATAACAGAACTTACATTGCTTTTCCATGACATAATTTTAATTCCACTGTTACCTGAAGTGCCATATCTTAAATGGCTTGTCTTGGTCACATTAACAAATGGGCATCTTCTAAAGCAGTTGAAACATGATAATACTTCAGTATTCAAGCGTGTTTGAGCCCCATTTTTTTTTTACAAAAATACATTTTGGAATAGTGATTTGATGGAGAATGTGTGGTTAAAAAATAAAGAAAAATTTGAATTTGCGTGTAATATTATTTTATTGAAGAATGTGTTGTTGAAAATAAGAAAAAAATGTATTTTGAAAATAATGGGGTACTTCAAGAAAAGACAGAACATACAATTTTGATATGTATTTTGAAAATAATGGGGTACAAACAAGGGCTTAATGTCTTTATGAATTTCCTGATCTAATCCTTCAACGTTATAATGTTACCTCTGCAACATTTTTCTGGACCTGAAAACATTATTTTTCTACTTTTCATTATTACCTGATAAAGATCTTCTCGGTTATATGTAGGTACCATTATAATATTTCTGATGCAAGGTTGGCACAGCATGTGGAGAAAGGAAATGAAGCTGGTTTATTTATAAGCTCTGTTGCGTCTTGTGACAACTTATGGGCTATAATAATGGATGCAGGAACTGGCTTCTCAAGCCAAGTTTTCCAGCTCTCACCTTATTTCTTACGAAAGGTAAATTCGTATTCATCTTCTTTTGCTTCATTTTTGCTTTGTTTTTGGAAGGCCTCGGTCAAACGAATTTTTTACCGAGAGCCGACTAGGAATTCCATTAATAACTGGCCTCTGATGCTTAGTAACTTGTTTTATCTGCTGTACATCACAGGAATGGATTATTGAACATTGGGAGAAGAATTATTTTATCACTTCTGTTGCTGGTGCCAATAATGGAAGCTCACTGGTGATAATGTCAAAAGGTAGGCTAGCTTTTTGGTGTCTCTGAGTTGATTTTGAAGTACATTTAGTTTGTACTGGGGTTTACAATATTTGAAAGTTGTAATTATGATTATTTAGTTACTCATCTCTTGCTTTTGAATTTTTAAAGTTTGTACTATTATTTAAGTGAACATTGCTCAATTATAGTGAATGACTTCATCAATGGGTTTTTCTAAGACTTTTGTCGACCTCTTTGAAACATGATACTTTATGTAGGAACCCAATATAATCAACAGTCCTTCAAAGTGAGTGAATCCTTCCCATTCAAATGGATAAACAAGAAATGGAAAGAAGGGTATCATGTGACTTCCATGGCAACTGCTGGTGCCCGCTGGGCTATTGTCATGTCCCGGAATTCTGGCTTTTCTGATCAGGTTTGTCTTTTTTAACTTTCTTTTTGTTTCTTCTTGTTCTTGCGTCCCTCATTATGCGCATTAAGAGGATCTGTAATATCAATCTGTAGAAAGTATTGGACTATTGGTGCTAGAATTTTAAAAACTGATTTTTTTTTTTTGTTTTTGGATGTAAATAACTAAACATTTGATGGAAATCACTCTGCGAAGCTGATGATGAATTTATGGAACTAATTTCGGACAGAGACCATCTACCTATGAACTAATGCTTTCATGTGTGGAGAAATTCCTATTTACCACAGATTGAGCAACTGTAATATATATAAATAAAATCTGTTGGCAAGTAAATTTTATCTTCTCATTTTCTAGGGTAATGTTTGGTCCCAAATCTATTTATGGAATTTGGAGATTATTTAATTTTGGAAACTGGAAAAATGTGTAGAATTTTTGCTTTTAAATGCTTGAAGAAAAATAATCGGCAGTAGCACTCTGCTGCTGACGATAAATTTATGGAACTAATTAGACCATATACCTATGAATTAATGCTTTCATGTGTGGATAAATTTCTATTTATCATGGATCTATACATGGTTTAAAAAGGCGGTAGTGAGGCGCACCTTGAGGCTCGCCTCACTGTGAGGAGGAATAAAAAATGCTCATCTATAGGTAAATTGTGAGGAGGAATAAAAATGCTCAACTTTCATAAGAATTTGGCAATCCTATGCAAATAGAATGGTGAATTCTCACTAATCTGCTCAATTGTATGAAGAGATTTCACTAGCATTATAAACGTAAAAGGCTACTCCACCTAGAATATGGAATGGTGGAACCTAATTTTGATTGCTCTTTATCTCTGATTTTCCTTTGGTTTCGCAGGTTGTAGAGCTTGATTTTCTTTATCCGAGTGAAGGCGTCCATAAACGATGGGATAATGGCTATAGAATCACATCAACGGCTGCTACATCAGACCAAGTTGCTCTTATTTTGAGTGTGCCTAGGCACAAGGTCATCGGTGATGGTCAGGAAACTTTACGTACAAGTTCGTTCCCTAACTTACATATTAAGGTGAATATTTGGTGGAATTCTGATTTGTTTCCCACTTACACATTGAATAATTTCCCTCCCCATAAAAGATGGAATAATCAATTCTTTGCTGTAATTGGGTTAATTACTTTCACTACGGACGAAGTGTGCTTGTATCTTTATGGATGGTTTATTCCATTTTCTTTCCTGGCCAGACTATTCTAATTCAACTCATTCTGCTGTTTGAAATTCTTGAATTTGCTCTTAATTGCTTGAAATGATGTTGACAGCTTGCATTGAAGAAAGATTGCCTGCCGTTGTTATATATTGTAAAATTTTAATCTCATCGAATCATTTACTGCATTTTACTTTATTATTCAAGAAGCAAGAGTAAACAGCACAAGTTTGATATATCATATTATGTTTATATTGAGTGAACAATTGACCTTACTTCTTCGTTGTTTTGGGAAAGAAGAAATGTTCATCTCTAGTTTTACTCACCTATTTGCTCGTGTGCAGGGAAAATGGGCAAAAAATCTCTACATTGCTTGTGTATGCTACGGACGATCTGTATCTTGAATATGTCTTACTGGATCGTTGTCCGCTTCAAGAAACGAGCCTGGTTTCTTGGGTTTTTCGTTTTGTGCTTTCCGTCAATATTGAATGCTATAGTTAAATGCCGAGGAGAGTCATTTCTCGCTAAAAGTTATTTATATATTGGGCAACAGTGGCATTTCGAGGATACTTTTTGTTTGTAATTGCCCTTGTACCTTAACCAAACTGGACAGTTGGATGTTTTACCTGCTGGGATTATATATTTATGGGGAAAAGCTGGTACAGCCTCTTGGCAAAACTAGTTAGTGATTTTTTTTTTTTCCTTTTTTCTGAAATTCTGCATTTCGATTTCACACAGGATTGGTGTCGAGCTGTTAGGCCCATTGCACGTGATGATTTCTTGGTCGAATGACTAGGCACGACAATTTTTTCAAATACAATCGACACTCGTAACATTAACGTTTAACCCGTACGGTTCTACTTGAATTAATGGATTCATCGCTTAGATGTCAAAAGCCATAATATGAAGGGCAAGTTAAGTGTTCATAGAAAATGCTTACAATTGACACTAGATTACATTTAACTAAATTGTATTTTCAATACTTGTATAATAAAATTCTATATTATTTTGATAAAAACAAATAATCCTTTTTAAAATTGTTTGGTTGGTGGATTTCATGGCCCATTATGCTTAAACTGTAGATTAATGGACTGTCTATATATATATATATATATATATATATATCTTCAATAAAATGTCTTTGAGAACAAGGTCGTCTTGTCTCGTGTACTCAAATTTTGCTTAATTCTTTCCTTTTGCTTTAATATTCTATGCATTGTGCCCCCGTTTGAGCCCCATTTTTTCTCATTCCATTACATTAATTTTTTCTCTCACTTCATCTCAATCACACATTCTCAAATATTTTACTATCCAACATTTGACAACATATTTACGGAAATTTTTCATGTTCGTATGCAAGGGGAAGCTTAGCTGTGAAATATATATATATATATATTATTATTATTATTAATAATTAAAATTAAATGCCTTTTGGGATCAATAAAAAGTTAAAAAACACAATCTGCAGGCTGCTTTAGAGCTCACTGTATAATACACTGCATAGAATATTAAAGCAAAAGGAAAGAATTAAGCAAATTTTGAGTACACGAGACAAGACGATCTTGTTCTCAAAGACATTTTATTAAAGAAGTAGACTGGACGATACTGGACTATTAAAAAAAACAAGAAATCTTGTTCAACATGTCAAGTCGAGTATTGTATACCAAATATTGGCCTTAGGGAGGGGCTAATCACAGCTTCAACGAAAGCAACTAATAAATTGTCCAAATTCTGCTGAAAACTTTACAAATAAATAAGTCCATTGAGTTCAAACTGTTAAAAGTGTACCTTCTATGCAGTTCATATACAAACAAATTAAAAAAACATCCTTCCCGATCATGAAAAATTTGCCAGACATATGTTTCTGCCAAGACAGGCCAAAAAAAAAAAAGGTACTCCATGATCGTGATTCCACGAAAGTACATCTAGGTTACGACTATACTTTCCATATACGCCCAGCTACTTTTAACTTCAGCTCCCGGCTATTACCTCCAGAGAAAAAGAGTGCCATGTTTTTTTGAATAATTAGTCCATCCATACTATCTCGAACTGTTTTATGACTATCACGTATGCTCCTCGGAACTCCTTGCCAAGTCAGCTTTCTGCCGTTTGCGCCAACTTCCAAGCTATAATTGAACTTTTTGGCATCATGTTCCTCGCCCATGAAACGAATGAATGCCATATAAACGGGAGCCCTTCCCAGATTGAAAGCCTCAAAGTGCAAGCAGAACTGGTAACCAAAACAGTTGAAAAGCTGCACCATATGAAAACCAGAAAAATTTGTCATGCGTCTCTTTCCTGTACAAACTTTTTGCAACTAGAGAAGTGTTAAACTTTACACAAAAGCAAGAAAAAAGTAAGTTATCCAAAGATGAAGAAACAAAAAAATTACTTATACTACTTTTTGAGCTGTAACCAAACATGCTCTTAAATGAAAAAAAGATGACGATTCGTTTCAATAGCAACTATTCCCGGATAAGATTTATCATGGAGAAATAGATGAAGTTTGCAGAATGAGATGGGATTATGTTGCATGATACAGACATAAAAAAACATTCGACTGGCACGTTAACTGAGAAACATGCTATGAACCATGAAAGAAGAGTATGTGCCATATTTCTTCTAGCATTACATAATAACAGAAGTGGCAAAAGCAGAAGAAACTTAGATGAAAACATGGCAGAAATATACAGTAAACACTACATGAATGTGTTTTGAAAACCAAACAACAATTTTATTTTTGGAATTTACATAGTTACCATATTCAGTGAAATGGCCTTTGATGAAAGTCAATATATGGTATTAAGAACACTGATAAAGCTATTCGGTCGGTAAAGCAACATCCACCTTTGTAGTTCTTTAGGTTTTGAAGCAGCAATAACAAATTTCAAAATTAAAAGTTATTTTCAATCATGGAAAAATTTCGTAAATGATGCCGATGAGTAAAATTTAATTGAAATTTGGGGAGTTTTTTTTTTTTTTGAAGGCTCGGCAAATGCGTGCACGTGGTTTTTCTCTCTTTATTATTATAATTATAATTATTTTTTTTTGGGGGGAGGGGGTGGAATGGAGTTAGTAGATTCTGACGTAGACTGCTTTAAGATAACCCAAAGTGGAAAGAGTAATATTTACGATGCAAATTGAGAATGCTAAATGCAATGACATTGAATTTCCATCCATTCTCATAGCCAAATGAGCATGCGTGTATGTTTGTTTGTGTGCGCGCGTGTGAGAGAGAGAGAGAGAGAGAGAGCTTACAGTCAACATCCATGTCGCATTTTCAAAGTCTTGGGAATCGGTCTTCACATACCGGTGGTTAAAAGTACTCCCGTCATGCATATCAACCTGATGATAATTCTTCAGATGTTGTATAAGCAATGGGATACTACCACTGACGGGGCATTCGGCTCCTGCATAAGGGCAATTGTACGGACGAAATCCGCAACTCTGTTCATGCCTAAGCCTGCTTTGATAGGGAAATATATCCTGACAACCAAGAATCTGATATCTGCATGGCACTTCTAGAGATTCTGCGACTCTCTCCAATGCCAGGCATCTTATGTTCCCAAGTTCTTGACGGCAAATTGGGCAAGAACGCACTTTGGACTTGCACTTAGAGCACAAAGTGTGGCCATTTGGACACTGAATAGGAGAAAATGATTGTGTGACTGTTAGCTTAATATGGCCTTAAAAAAAGTGATTTTGTTTTTGTACACCAAAGATTGAGAGGTAGAGACCATATAATAAATTATTTTCTATGCATATTATCATATATGCATCAAGGGGATGAGAATAAAATGATGCTACACAATTTTCATATTTCTTATAACCAAGATACCGTGAAAAAGTCAGCTTACATCAAATTTGTATTCTAATATTTATATAAAAAAGGTGACTTTTTAAGTCCTTTTTCTTATAAAGACTTGTTCAAACAAAAATCAAACTTTTGTTACCCTGAAGAACAGATTATTGAATTGCTTGCTCCACAATGTCAGATAATGTCACGCCTGAGGCAAAATTGTTAATAGGAGAATATATGTTCCTACATAGAATCTGTATCCACTACAATATGCAAAAGAATATTCGTTCAGCCTCATCGGGCATTTCTTTAGTAACATAATGATGATGCCAGTGGAATGTCTATGGTTAATAGATGTAACATCAAAGTTTTCATGCAAAGTGGTTTGAATCCACATAACAGAACTCAATTCGAAGGAATAAAAATGGAATATAGATGGGAGATAGTAACTTTATATTTTATGAAGTAGACAACTAGATTAGAAAGAGCAAAATAAGAAGCCTATCTAATAAGGAAACAAGATGGTAGAGCTAGAAGTTCATATGGCGGTTTAGGCTAAAAATAAATGCTACAAAACTTGTCAAAATATGAAAATGTAGATGTTTTGAGAAGTAAAAGTTACCTAAACATGGAACCAAGAGGGTTTTCAAGAATAGCGGAGAAATGAACGGAAAGTTGTACAGTAATCTTGTAGAGCTAAGGCTGGGGAGATATTTATTTAAAAGATATAAATCAAGTCACGTGTATAAGGATCAAAATCAGAGAGTTCTATATCATAACAATGAAATTATAGAAATATGAGGAATTAATTAATGAAGGTCAGAGTTTATCTTAGGAATATGTCAACTGTACAAAAAAATGTTTGCTAACCGGCAACAAAAAAATCAGATACAACAGCCTACATCATCATAGAAAATGTAATGTAGGAATGGACGACAGGACTGATAGACACCAGAAACTTGTAGTCTTAGTTAACTTGTACAAGATTTGCAACATGACGATTCCAATGAAGGTCACAGAGAATACACTGTTCAGAACAAGGATTTTCAAAATACCCTCTGAAAGAAAATGGTGTGTGTGTGTGTGTGGGGGGGGGGGGGGGGGGGGGGGGGGGGGGGGGGGGTTGTGAGTTCTGCTCTGCCACTCATTCCAACTTTAAGATGTGAGTTCTTCCTTAAACAACCTAATTTGTAGCTGCAGGGAGTTGGATGAGCACCATATGTTTGGCACACGGAGAAATTCATAATTGATTCGTGTTTTTCCATAGTGAATTCACAAACTACCAAGATAAAATTCCTGTTTGACAAAATTAGAAAGGATGAACTGCACTTATGCCATGTCATTTAATTACAAGTCTTATTAATTGCCTAATCCACAGAAAAATAAAATAAAATAGAATACTCAAACAAAAGTCGTCAACACAAAATAAGTCGAGATATATATCAGTCTATAATTCAGAAAAAATATATTTCCAGTTATTTCATCAAGTAAGTCAGCTAACATCTTTAAGATTTATCAGACTCAAATTCAGTTAGTGACGAGCATAATATAAATTTAGATGGAAAAATATGCAAGAATCAGATATATCGGCGGCCCACCTTAGAG